TTTTCCTTTTTTTGGTGGCTGCCCCACGAAAATGGTCTTCCCAAAAAGGGTTCCCTTTTTTTTACCAGGGTCACTGAACAACTGAGCTTTTCAACCCGAGCTAGCGAAGGGGTTCGGGCCGAAGTCGGAAGCCGCTCGGAGGATTTGGCTCCAAAGAACGAGCTATGCGATGAGTTTCTCTTCACCTCTCACGTGGCGGACGCCTGGAAAAATGGTCGCCGAGGTTTGGCGCCGGGTGCGGGCTCGTGCCTTTTTTTAGCCCATACCAAAAAGAAGCCAAAAGGGGGTGGGCCATTTTTGCAGATTCCGAAATATCGCAGCGACAGCTTGTCCGGAGCTAGCTGAGGCACTTGTGCCGCTGCTGCTTTTGAAGGACGACATCACGGCCGCAGCTTGGCTTGCACTGATCGATGCCGCAGACACGCGGAGCAACGGGGCTCTTCTGGCAGCACTTCCCGAGTTCGTGGACTTTAGTTCCTCCCAGTTTGAACAAACTCGGCCCCATCCACTCGATCGGAAGTTGGGCCGACGATTTCCCGAATTTCCCCCCCCCCCCTCGAAGAGGACGAACTGAGTGTGGGAGCAACGGGGCCCGCAGGCGCGCATTCTGCGGACCAAGCCTTCAGAGCTCAAGGGCTGAAAGGGCCGATGTTTTTTCGGCGAGAAGAACGGGATTGTGGCCAAAAATGCAGAAGCAGCATCTCCAGGTATGGGTATTTGAGGTATGGATGGCGCAGTGTCCCTAAATCCCCCCCTGTGGTCTTACAGTTGGCTTCTGGTACCCTTCAGCACCCATTTAAAAAGACAATTCGTTGTTGGCTGTCAAACAAGTGGGGTGTTTGTTGCAAGTTCGCAAGTTGACAAACGTTCGATTGCAACTCACTTACAAGTCCCCCCTGTGAGGTTAACTGGTTGGGGGGGCCTTTAAAGCATACTTGTTAATCCCACTGAACGGGGGGCTGGAGCACCCAAGTAGGAGGAAAGCGGGTGAGTCTGCGGCCCTCCCGAATCGAGGCCGCACGCTCGGCGTGGGCTTCGGATCCTGTGCCACACCTTCCGCTTCACGTGCCCTCCAGGGTCTTGTGGCTGCGCCCGGTCAGCGAGGCGTTTTGGTTTGGGTCTACCCTTTTTGTGGACGAATCATTCTCTAGGTCCAGAAAAAAAGGGCACCCTTATTCTAACCTCTCTACTAAAGGACATTAAAGGACCTAGTCTTGTGTGTAACTCTTTTGCTGCGTGGTTTCATACGAAGGTTATAGGTGTTTTGTTGGTTGGAGCTGGGTTGAATAGGGGTTAGTTGTTTTTTGGTTTACGCCTTGCCTTTCAGCTGGCCCTCAAATGGCGGTTTCGGGGAACACTTTCAACCACCAAACCACAATGAATTGGGGCAAAGCCGGTTTTTGGTATTAAAGGAGAACCAGAAGGAAACCATAAACCAACCATCCTGTGGGTCCCCTAATTTCCAGACACGCGTAAATAAATAAATAAATATGTATATATATATATACACATTCATATTTATCTATTCACATATACTGTTTTACGTCTGATTCAATTTATATATGGTTGGGTCTTGAAAGGGGAGCACCTCAAAGCGATTGTTTCTCCTTAGTTCCCTCGAATTTTGACATGGACAAAGGCACCTGCGCAAGAACGAACACCGTTTTTCCCCTGGCTTCCCTTAACCAACCGTTGCCAAGATGTTCCCACCGATCGACTCACCGTCGCTGTTTCAGCTGTTTCACTTCAAGCCTTCCTTGAGAGGCGCCCAAACAGATTCCAAAAGGGCCATTTTCGTGCCTGGTGATTCTACGTGGTTTAATTGGTACTGTAGCAATGCCAGATTTGCGGGTTTTCCCGGTGCTTCCCGTAAAACGTGATTCCACGCATACCGGGACAACGCACGCAGTCTCCCCCCCTGCAAATTCACACGGAACCCTTAAAAGAGTTCCCAAAGGAAGAATACCTCCAAAAATGATGGGTTGCAGTTTCCTCTAAATCAGCCTAGCCCAGTGTCCCGAGTCCCAGGTTTCGGATTTGGGCAGCTTCAAAAGCTGAGGCTCATCAACAACGTCTCCCAGACCATTTGCCTGAAAGGCGTGTTCCGCGCGAGCGCTACCGTGTCTCCTCTGGCGCTCACGATCATCCTCTCCGTGCGGAAGTTCCTCTCTGTGGTGGTGCCTCACTCAAAACCATGACCGAAGAACCCGTTTGAGCCACCTCGCGGAAGAAGATGGCCATGGAGCACCCCAAAAGCCAGCCTTGTTCGGCATCGCTGTTCACTCATCAGATGGTGCAATAACATTGTTTTTAGAGGAGTCGCCTTGTGGGGAGCCCTTTTGGGTTTGCAGGAAGGTTTCACTGATAGGGCGCGTTTGGTTGGGGAAGGACATGGGGGGACAGCCCAAATTCCCCGCAAAAGCAAGGGGGGCCACCCAACAGGCTGCTAGTGTCATGAACTCCCGTATTATCAGTGTGCCTTTAGGACGAGGATGAATCACAAAGCTTCATTTTGGGGAGGGCGGAGGCTTGAGCCTGAGGTGTCGATCATCCTCTTCAACAATCCATGGACGCCACAGCACAGCTTGGCAACAGCAGCTTGCCTCAAATCACGCGAAGTCACCGAACGAGCTCATACCGAGCTCAGGAACCCCCTCCTGGTTCCTCTGGATTTTGTGGTACAGATCTGGCCTAAGCAAAAGCTGAGAAGTGCAGATGCGACACACAGTGGAGCGAAATCATTCTTTGGGTCTCCCTTCTTTTTGTGTACCCTTGGTGCGGTTGGTTTAAAGGGAAACCAAAATGGAAAGCCACCATATATGGAATATATGTATTTACTTTCGGTTGTCAGGGCCCCACAACAATCACCCATTGTCACTGAGACATTGCCAATTTTTGAACACGTCCCCCTTTTTCACACAAGTGTCGTGCATGGAGCACACCTTGCACATTTGTTAAATTTCTTGGAGCCAAACGGATCCACCCGTAAGGCCTCCACTGACTCAAACCAAAAAGACACCGACATAGGGTATCGGTTTGGGGTGAACTTGCTTTTGGTGGTTCTCGGAAATGCCGGGCGTTCATGTTCATGCGTTAAAACAAGCGGGACACGCAAAATGGTTGTTCTCCTTGTGGTCAAGCCACAAACCCGGAAACCTGAAACGGCCACCCTGAAAACACACACACACCCACACACACACACACACACACACACACACACACACACACACACGCGCGCGCGCGCGTGTGCGCGCGCCCATTTCAGGACATCCGAATCCGCTTGAGGTCTTGATCTTTGGCGGGGCCTTTGCTTATTCGCAGGTGCCGGATGCCAAGAAAGCCCTTTGGACGCAAGCTGGATGTGTGCCCTTGGGGGTTGGGAGACTGGAGAACCTGACTTTTCGCAGTCCTGGAAGGCTAAGTATTTCGTAGACATAGCAACGTGGACACGAGGGTAGCTGGGGTCTCCTCCAAAACAGTTTTGTTGTTTTAGGGTGGACGAAATGTCAGGCAGAAGGAGGACATATGATGTTCGGAGCACCTCAGATGGGCCAAGGTTCTTATTTTGACACGTTTTTTTGCTCCCAAAAAAGCGGGGTGGGCTTCATTGCTTGCCGGGGCGTTCAAAGGGTTTTGTCTTTGTTGTTTGCGCCTGGGGCACAAAGGAATTGGGGATGGGATTGCTCCCCTGTCGGGTTTGATGGAGTTTTCTCGGCTCTTAGGATACTAAGGAGGTTTGCATCCCAAACACCCTGTTGAGACAGTTTTTGGGTGGAAGTCTGCATGATCCATTCATTCGAATCTTTTGATCTAAAGCGGGACCTGGTGCAGCAGTTTGAACATGTGTTGCGCTTTTGATTTGTTCATAGGTGAAGCATGTCTACCTTTTCCGAATTCGCTTGGCTGATTCAAGCTGCCTGAATAATATCTGACCACTTTAGCAGCCTGAGCCCTGAAAAAGACTAGACGGCTCCGACATACGTTGAGCAATCAAGCTGGGGTGTGCACGTGTGAAGGCGGGTCCGACTCGGCAGAAATCGAAGTCTAAACAGGGCTCCTTACACAGCTCTGCCTTCGTCTCGGGACTCCCTGAAGCGGCGGCTTTCCTTTTGGATTCCCTTTCAATCCACACAACAATGGCACCCTCCAAAGAAAACACACGCACATGGCGTGACTGTGTTTTTTTCCCCTTCCGGCATGACTTGATTTGAAGCCCTGGTCCTTGTAGCCAAATAGGAAATCGCCGGGCGAGCGCCTCCCACCAGCTCCAAATCAGGTAGGCAAGGAGAAGAAAGTCGACTGACGCGAGCGCGCTTTCGGCCAAAATGCTTCGCGCGCGCCTGGCAAAGTTGGTCTCCGACAGCATGTCAGAGCAGGGTTGTGGGATCAAGAAGCTTTTCCCAGAATCTCCCCCTTTTCAAGGGGGGGTTAGTCTTCACGAACCCCTTTTTGCTTGTTCCGTTTGCTTTGGATTTGGAGCGCTGCATGGACTCAGTTGACCGAGCGAAACTCACATGTTGTATCACAGATAGGCGGTGTCCGACAGCGTCAGAGCAACGTGGGGCGCGCGAGCGCTGGGAGCCTTGCGATTCGACAGGCTCAATTATTTGAACTGATGCGCAGCTGGTAGGTTCCCTTGATTCGTTTGCCACTAAGCCAACCTGCAAAGGGTATCAAGCAAGCAAATCCGTTTGTGTGCGTGTGCGCGTTTGTTTTTGGAGGGTGCCTCTGTTAATTGGATTTTGAGAGAAACCAAACGGTCCACCATTTGGGCACTCTTGCACCAGCTAAGAAACCCTGGAATGATGATTCCCCAAGGAAATACCGACAAACAATGGCTTCCCATGGTTTGAAGTGATGCGAAATGGATTCGTCCATCCACGGTATTTGGATGCAAACCTGGTATAGTTGGGGGATATAGCTAGGCCTTTCTGGTTTTATCTGCCTTCATAAACCCTGTGGCCCAAGCGGGTTTCGCCGCATTGTTGGCGCTTCCGCAGGCCTTCGAGTGCGGCACATCCTCCAGCACCATGGTCAGCTACTGCGACCAAATTCGGAGAGAGATGCTGGGGGGGTGGGGGGGGGACCGGATCCGATCCCCTTTTGCAAAGTATCGGGGCATGGAGCACGGCGGGGAGCGGCTGGTTTGAATGCTTTAGGTTCAAACTGAGCCTGTCTTTCTTTGAGGGTTGGGTTTTGGGATGGCCCAAACCCAACCCCAAGCCCCTTTTCGGGATGGTTTCTCAGGGGAACAAAAAGGATAACCCAATCTTGAGTGTCCCCTATTTTGAGACCAAGGGCGCCTTCCCTGCCACGAATTTACAATGTGGCAGACCGGAAACTCGGCCTTTCCATGTCCTCATGTGGAAGATTTGATTCTTTTGGAATTGGGCCCTAAATTGATCCATGCCTTTCAAAGAATTCTACTTCCTCATTTTCCATCCCAAGCCAAGGAGAATCCATAGTCTTTTGGTTGGAATTGTGTGCTTGTTCCCTTTCAACAAAACCCGAAGCCCGGAGGGCCACGGCATCCATCCCCAGTGCGCTCTCCTCTCGCACTTGAGCGCCAGAGGCTTGGCGCGGTTCTTCGAGCACGCGCGCTTCAGGCTGGTGCAGCTGCTCGGCCGCCATCGAAGACGCAAGCCTCGCGCTGCAAATTTGTGCCCCTCAAAAAAGCGGCTTTCCTCTTGGCTTCTATTCCTCAAAAACCAGAGGTACGGCAAATTCTGCAACAAATGACACACCCATGAGCCACGATGCGTTTACTTTTAAAAAAAGTCCCATGGATTTCGACACGCTCAGGAAGGGCTGCTTAGCGGATGCTGCTGCCAGCTCCGCGCAGGTGTGACCAATGGGATGGGTCAGTTCGGTTCAGTTCGGGCCGGGCTCTTCTGACCTACGTGAAGAACTTGCTGGAAAGCCAAGCCCCACCACTCACTCCCTGAGTTCATGGACTTCGGTCGCTTTCTGGGAAGATCATCTTTGCGGTAAGCCGAAAGTTTCCACTTCTGGCCACTCCACTCAATGGGTGAGCATTGAGCTGTGACTCTTTCACAAGCCAAACGCTTGCGAAGCATGTTTTTTGCGACGGACGGCGCGACAGGTTCGGGGGCAATTTTCACAGGGGTCCCTCGATTTCCCTTTGTAGGTGGTTTTAAACATCACCTTTTTGGCCTATGAAAGGTGAGTGTCCCTTGGTGGGGGGTGTTGTAAGGCATTGTAACTTGACTGCTACTGGGTTGGATCTTTTTTGGGTGAAATAAAGTTGGGTTTTCCACTAAACCCCATAAAAAAGTTGAACACTTTTTGCAGGGGGGTCGTTGCAGCAACCAAGTTTGGGTTTCCTTCATTTTCCCTTCCAGCTACCTTGTCTCCCAAGAACGTGGCACCTGGCATGCGGTCCTTAGAAACTGGTCTTCCAGGTACCCTCCTAGGTCCCCCAGCAGTGACTCTCGGATGCACCGGGCGAAGTCGCGTCCTTTGAACCACCACGTAAACCAGGGCCTTTTACAAGGGGAACTATCGGGAGACCAGGTGGTGCTGCGGTCGCAGAGCCTGCAGCTGGCCAGCACCTTGCAGCCCTTGGCCGCCTGGCAGAGGAGAGGCTTCTCCGAGAGCTGGAGCCGGTTCTGCGCCGGTTTCGGTGTGGTCCAAGAGGCGGCTCTCAGGTTACTTGACAATGTCTAGGTCCCCCAGCCCTTCACCGTTTCTTTTTTGGGTCTACTAACATAGACTGCAGAAAAAGGGTACCCTTATTCTAACCTCTCTACTGGAGGGCCTAGATGTTCTAGGAGACATTTCCATGTTCCATTCTTTCCAGGGATTGGAGTCTTTTCAGAAAACCAGAGCCCCAGGAGAAACATCTGGTTTTTGAAAAGAATAGGGGAATCCACCCCTAGAAAGGTGGCTTGGATTCGAGGATTCGATTTGGATTTGAACCCTCGGTTCCTATAAAGGGTGAATGGGAACCCACACCCGGAACCAAACCACCAATCCAAACCAAACGGCAAGCTGAGCCTCCCCTGAGTCAATTTATTCATTGGCCGGCCCTACTACATGTCCGGGTCGCTTCCTTTGGAGGATGTGCATACCACCAGGATCTTTGCGAAAAATATCAAGCTTGAACCTTTCCTTTTGCGGTGAGAAATGTCGTTCATGTCCCTTTGCAACTTTCCAAAAGAAACGGGTGGTTCCCGCAGGTGCCAAAACGGGCTGTTGGCTCGAGAGAGAGAGAGAGTGCTTCCTGACAGCTTGTAGGTCCCATTGGTGTGGCCATGGCATCTCTTCCAGTCTCCCCTTCTTTTGCGCAAAGGCATGAGGTTTAGACTGGCAACGAGCGCTCGAAGCGTACAAGAATTCCCATGAGTATACAGCTAATGTTGAGAGCTTTGCTGGTTTTTGGTGGCCAAAAGTAAGGGCTTCTTCATTCACTAGGTCCTCCAAGGCCTTTTGGGCCACGGCTTTGCGATTGAACATGTGGCACCTGCCATCCTCCCTCAAACTGCCTTTATGCGGGACGGGGCGTTGGTTGTTCAATGTGCTTCGCGGGGAAAGCCAAGACCAGCCCGGGTGCATCGCACAAAAATAAAATTCGCACTGCTTGTTTGGGCCCTAGCCTCTTGGGGCGTGGCGCCCGTGGCATCCCCCTCCAACAGGGCTCCTTAAAAGATCTCCATTTTGCCACCATTTGAAACATGTGGCTTTTTCAACACCAAGAAGAGAAACCACCATTTACAAGTTGCAAGGTTCAGGTGTTTTTCATGTAAGGATCCCTGTCCAGTAGCCCTTTCATTTTATGGAGGGGTTTCCCCCCATAAAGTGAAAAGGGTTTCCCCCAAGTGCCCAGAGGGGATGCCTATTTTGTTCAACGACTTCTCAGCCCCTCTCAGTCCCTGAGTTTCTGGACCTGAGAATTCTCTTCGAAGCGAGCACTTGGCTTCCTTTCAGTCCGCAACCCTGAAGGAAAATGCCCTAGAAAGAATGCATTTGGGCCACGGATTCGATGTGTAGACCACTGAAGTAAAGGGGGGCGGGTTCCCGTGCCGCACACCTCCCAAGACCTACGGAAAGGGCCAAGCAACGGGTTTAACGTCCGCTTTGGAGAAGAAAAACGCGTGGGGGGGGGGGGGGGGCGGAGGTGTTTCGGAGTGCATCATTTGCCCAGGTCCACTACGATCTCAGGACATGGCTCGAGGAGGCGTCGAGGGAATGATTCGACACCTTTCGGGTGTTTTGACTTGTGAAAGAATCTGGATATCTAGGGGTTGATTCCAATTCCATGCGTTTCAACCATCGTTCTTTCCAAACTCCGGCCGGTTTCCATGGGTTTCTGGAGGTTTTCTAGAAAGGAGGATCCCTTGAAAGAGTGGGGAAGGTACCCCTAGAGGATAGTTTTCTCACTGTCTTCAGCCCCTTCAACGGTTGCGCAAAAAAAAAATCGGGCTTGTTGGCCTCCAAATCGGACGATCCGCACTTCAATACTTGGCTTAGGCTTGCCAATTCTAAATTCAGTATTGCCAAGACTTACTCCGAACTCCCAGATGTCAGATGAACCACCGCTGAAAAGTAGCTGCTTCGGCTCTGACCTGGGAATGTTCAAACCCACCGCAAAAGATCTTGACAGAAACCGGGCCTCGAAACAGTCATTCAAGCGCGGATCCGGGACTCGCGTGGGGTACCCCCTTGTTGCCGCTGGTTTGGGACCTAACAGGAATTTCTGGATCTAAGGCTGGGAAGGGAAAGGGAAGAAGGCTTCCGGTGTTGATCTTGGAATTTCTCTTAAAACAAGCTTGACATCGCAGCGGACCCCACCACAGTCCGACAAAAGGGACTGGGGGCTCTTGTGGGTTGACTCTTTGGCAAATCGATGGTTTTGGGACCACGTCAAAAACAGGATTTCCTAAATCTAAGGAAGGCCTTTAGCTGGGAAGGGCTTGGGTAAACCACCCTTCAAATGTAGAATGCAAAGGCATTGGTCAAACTTTGGTCTGGATTGCTTTTGCCCTGGATGTTCTTTCTGGAAAAGACTTTCTACTAAAGTGACCTTCGAGGCAATCAGAGGATTCTGAATTCGGACAACCACTTTCCATAAAAAGCACGGGGTCCCTCACTACCACTTTTTGCAACAGGGACCATAGATAGCCTCCCACCAAAATCCCTTCGGGGGGTCCAATTCAGTGGACCATGTTGTCCTTTCAAGAAAAAAAACGGGTCCACCGATTCACATGGAACCTGACATTTCGCCAGGTTCCTTTAAAGGGACCGGGTCCCAACGTCGGGTGTTCCTTTCAAAAGAGGAAGAAACAAAAAAACGTGGTCCCAACGCCCAGGTGCGGATGCATTCGGTGCTGCTGGGCCACACCATCTCGCGGCGTTCTTTGCGAGGCACCGAGACGGCGCCTTGACTGGGCTCCGCCCCGCTTACGTGTCCAATTGTTTGGACAGTAACACGTTTCGGGGGCTGGTTTCAAGAGAAGCGCAGGAGAAAAACAAACTGTTTTTTTTGAGCTCCCCTTGTTTTTCTTTCAGATACCCTAATATATGTCCATTGCTCGGTGGTTTTCATCATCACCTTTTTCGCCAAAGGCGAGTTACCCCCTGTCGCAACCAGTGGCACATCCGGCGGGCAATTCAGCCGCCTCAACACTCCTTGGCGGACCTTATGGGGTTCCGTGCTGGTATTTCAGGCTGGTGTCAGGTGGGGTCATCCCGAAAGGGCGTGCGTTGTTCATGTTCACACCAACTCTCCAAATCAGGGAAGGCCGCTCATATCAAAAGAACCACACCTGGGCCGCGAAATTCCCCGCGATGTCCATTGTTCTTGTTTGACCCCGACTGTATGTTTTATATCTTCATGTTTTCATTGTTAATCATTTGTATGTGTTCTCTCTCTGGATTATTTGGTGAGATATAGTGACGAACTGAAGAGTCATTTCGGCAAGAACACAGAGGTAGCTATGGAAAGGTGGCCGGATGGCGGCTTAAGGCATGAACATAAGAAAGGAAGTGAGAGAAAAGATATTGTATTCTTTTCACTATCCATCCTGGAGTATGTTCCAGGGATGTGGTGGGCTTAACCTTTGAAGACGGCGAATACGAGTTCCCAGCAAAGTCCAAAATTGGGCCGATGTTCGGATCAAAATCCAAACCTTGGCCCAGTCACTTGCTGCGGACCTGCCAAAAAGAACAGGGGGGGTGGGAGGTAAATCAGCCCGAAATCAGGTGCATCGCCGCCTCCCCCCCACCCCACCCCACCCACCCTCGTTTCGCGTCCCTTTACACCAAGCTGTTGGCTGATAGGCTGCAAGCAGACTGAGGCCGCCTTGAAAGTGGGTGTCGTGAAATTGGATTTGGGGCCGCCAAAATGGTAAGTTGTTTTCGTGTTGGTTCTTCTCTAAACCCAAGCAAAAAAAACAAATCCGCAAAACAAACCGATAGGACATTCTCAGTTGTCACTGGTGCTTGGGGGTGGCCCTGCGCCGAGTTGTAGTGGTTTCTCAGGAGGAAAGCCCCATTGCAGTAGTGAACCAACTCTGATCCCCGAGCCAGGCATCCAAGGGATTAGGCCCTTCCAAACACGAATTTCCCTGTATTTCACCATTCAATTGTGGTTGTAAAAGTCACCTTTTGGGATTTTGGGCCAAAGGGAGCTTCCTTGTGGGGTGGTTCTACATTGGAACAGAAAGAAATGTGGAACCTCCCACCTCAGGTTTTATTCGAGACTCGTTGTTCACCTCTGAGCGGGAAACCAGCTGTCTGTTTCTTGGGGTTTGGCTTGCTGCTCTCGGCGTTTAGGGAGCACATCTCTGTGTGACCTGATCCCCAATTTGTTTATGGCTATCTGAAACCTAGACAAAGTTTTGCTGGACTCCTTTGGACCACTTCCGTCCCAGACCGCCTCGAGGTGGCGGACGGCTGGGCGACGCTGGTCTTCCTCGACGGCCGCGGGAGGGCCATGGAGGCCCTTCGAAAGTCTCTTCATGTTTTTCGCCCGTCGGACAGCTCCCCCGAAAAGTCGCGCGTTTCAGGAGTATCGTCTTGTTTTGGGTTTCCTCTTGTTTGGGGTAGGTTTAAGAAAAAAAAGAAAAGACAAAGGAAAACCACAAGTTGTGTGTCTCTTGATATCATTTTTTTCCTGGGCAGTTTTGGAAAGAATCAGAAGGAGAAGCGCCGCTTTGCTTTTGGGGGGAAACCTTTTTTTGAAGCGGAGTTTGAAGGGGAGCAAAGGGAGAACTGCCAATTTGAGGAAATCTTTTGAACGGAACGCCCTGTTAAGTTAACCATTTATCTCTGGATCACTTGGGCAACTTAGATGACAGTTCTTGTTGTTTGTTTGGTAGTCCTTTATTGGAGCGCGTGCTATTTTCCCCACAATGTTGACCCCGTTTTGATAGACCGTCCTATCAGGGGTGGGGCACATGTGGTTTGAATCCCCACTAAAAAAGGGGGCACCCACTGAAAAGGGACACCCCCTCCACATGTGGTTTAGACACCTTTTTCGAGTTCGGAGTTTCTTTTATCGCATATCCCACCGAAAGTTAAATTTGAAAGGGATCAATGAACTCGCTTCCTGGGTTCATCATGGACGTTAAGCTTTTTGGGAAGACAATTTTCCTGATAAATGAAGCTATATTCACCTTTGGGCATGTCTGTGCCACATCGGAAGTGAGTGCACCGCCGAGTTTTGGCCAGGGGTCCTTTTGGACCCCCGGAGCACCGCCCAAGAAAACCCGCTTGGCGCAGACCCCCCGCAAGATGTTCAGATCCCGAAGCTGGGATCGGTGTGTTTGGGGCTGGGAGGGGTAGCTTTCTCATCCCCAAAGACCAAGAGGTAGGTAAAGCCATGAAAAAAGAGAGAAGAGATTCAACCTGGCCCTATCTTTGCCAAAGTCACCCCAGATAGACCACCCTGGGAACTCCTTGGGAAAAAAGGGCCCCCCCCCCACTGAATCTTTGGAACCGCAAAGTCGTGAATTTTGCTGTTTGGCGGTTCTGTCTTTGTATTTGGCCCGTCCACGAACCCATCAGAGGGCAGTCTCCACCCGGAAAAGTCAGGTTCCATGGCAACGTGGACGGAAGGGTATGCCACTTTCCTTCGGAACAAAGGAGCGGGATTTCGACCCCGCAAGAATTCCATTTCTTCCCCATTTCTCTATGGGGAAGACTAGAATGAATTGGGTCCCGGACGCCAGGCTCACCCCCTGCCCCTTAGCTCACTCCCTGAGTTTCTTGAGACTACACTCTTTTTTTTGGTTTGGACAAGGACTCTGTGCGCCATGGACACCTTTAAACTATTTGAGTGGCATTACCCAAAAAATCGCCGTCTTGTTCCGACCAATCCACTCGCTCGGATTTCCATGCCACGTCTTTCCGTGAGCTTCCCGGCGCCAGGTGCCGGGCGCGGCTCAACTCCAAGACCTGGCCATGAGCCGAGCGCCGAAGAGCTCGCGGACGAACCCGCCCAAGGCGTCCAAGACCCTGCCTGCGTCCAGCCAGGTGGCTGCGGCGGGATACCTCTCTCTCTTTTTTTCTTTTCGGGTGGCTTTGAGAAAACAACAGGAACACCACGAGTTGTTGTGTTTCTTGATATCCTCTTTTCCTGCCTAGAAAGCCAGGTTGCATTGAAAAACAAGCAACTGCAAATAGTGTCCCGTTTTTGCAATTCTATAAGCATTATTCTGTCTCAACAACTTAAGGCTTGCCAGTTCGTTCTGCAAAAGTGACCGCCCCCGCTAGCCTATGAGATGCCTCAAGACAAGCTGCTCTTCGTGGACATCCAGCCTGCCTGACTCCGAGCCTTTTCATGCGCACAGCAATGCATCCATGCATCATGCTTTGCCATTCGGCACGCAAGAGGTCTCAGCCGATTTCCTAGGCTGAGCCATGCAAGGCTTCATCTTTGATCGGGAGGCTCGCAGCAAGGGGCACGGAAGTGATGTTTGTTTTCTGCAAAAAAAAACATGCTACCACCTAGCTGCTAGCCCCAGCCGATATCTTTCTAAGGTCTTAAAGTGTTGAGTCCTAATGCTCACAGCCCTCGACATGGTTGACACACGTCCCACGAAGTCTTCGTCAACTTGTGTGGCTTCGCAGACTGGGTTCAAACTGTAAAGACTGGATGATTGATCCTTGCGAAGACGCCAAGCAATCTCTGCAAACATGTGAAACTTAGGAATGTATTTCCATCTCGCTTTGCCAATGGAGTACGCGTAGTTGGCACAGGCAGCAAAAGCTTGGAAGAACCTGTCAGAAGACGTCAAAGCCAGGGACGTTGGCAGCTTTCAAGGTCTCCAAAATGTTGCAGAAATATCCTTTGTGCTCATGTTCAGGGTTGTCTGCGATCAGGGTCAAGTACTTGCTCTCCAAGTAGAGGCACAAGCTAGTTGTGTCAGCGCCTTTGAACCATGACCTCAGAAACATGTTCAACATGCCCAAGGGCCAGAAGGACATCACACAAAAACTGGAATCTGTAGGCTGACCTGCTTGAAATTGTGCTAATTTGCAGCCCTAGGGCCCAGCAGGGTAAGATTGATCACGATCAAAGCTCAGCAAAGTTCGCGTCAAGCCACTCATGTGCAATTGCAAGCTTTGGTCGTAGCAATACTTCTGAAGATCCTCAAAGATCACCCCCAGCTTTACTGGGACAGAACCTTCACCCATGAGATCAAAGTCCATCACATTTACCTGGGCTGCGCTGTCCCCACTGCCAATGTGAGAATGTGTGCACACCTTTTCAGTTTCACTAGAACTCAAATTGCAAAACACCTATATTGGTGATTGTGATGATGAGGGTCCACAGCATTGGCCGCAACATCTCCGAAGACCCCTTTGTGCAGGGTATGGAAAAGGTCCACTCGATAAAACTCAGGCTTTTTGTCTGGATCCTGGGGGATGATGCGGGTGAAGGGGGATGGTGTTGTCCAGGGAACACCTGCGTCTTGGTGAAGCGTATCCATATGTTGCTCGTCCGTGATGTGCCAAGCTTGGTCACGTTGACCTGCCTTGCACATGTGGCAAATTCCGACCATCTTTCCCTCACCAGATTTGTTTCTCAAGAAATGTCGTGTCAACTGACCCAGCTTGCAAAGCGCCGGCCAATCTCCTTTCATTCCTATCGGGATAAGCCAGTAGCAACGACCACCAAGAACGATTCCATCAGCACAAAGGGATGCAAGCTCATTGGCAAAGTGCTCCGTCAAGTTCAGGAGTGTTTCTGACTTACTTTTGCTGTAGACACGAGCAGCCATCACACTGTACAGAAACCGGCTTGTCAAAGAGGACCCAGTGTAATTCAGGCCAGAAGCTCTGGAAGAACCGGCTCCAAACAAGGGCTGGAACTGCAGGATCATTAACTGTTTCTTTTTCAAGGTTTGCCCCTCATCAGCATGAAGTAGAATGGGCACACACGCAGCTAGTTCCTGATCTGTGCGGAGGGTAAAGCATGGATGTTTTGGTCGGTGGGGGCGGTACTTGTCCCAAAATTCTGCATAGGTTGCAGGTGAGGCAGTCAGGACCAAGTTCAATTTGTTGCTCGCTTCAAGGCATTTCAAAAAGCCCCTCAAAGGAAGGACAGGGTGAGCATTTGCATCAGGCCCACAATCCACAAATACAGTGGGCACCTGCGCCACCAACCCTGCGTTGTCAAATGCCGAGAATAGTCTTGCTTCATGGCCAGTGTGGTGCAAACGACTCATGTCCTGCAAGAGCTGCTCGGACTCCAAAGCCCCCCCCCAATGTCACCTTTGAGGCTTCTTGCACAATAGCGGCAGCAATCTCACAGGCCTCCTTCTCAAACCCAACATTGTAAATGTTAAAACAAATCAAGATATACATCATTCAGTGTGTTTCAGCTGAATGCAACAAATCCAGACAGGGTATGCCAAAAAAAGACTCCAAGACACCCCATTCGCCACCGCCTTTGCGAGCGCCTTGCCAGCAGGCCCCACGCAGAGCTTGACCGTCCGGGGGCCTGACGCAGGGGAAGGGCAATTGAGAGTCCATGGAAGCAATCCAGATTGGCAAATGCCAGAAACCCTTTCTGCAAATCACATGTTATGCAAAGGCAAGCATAGACTTTGATCATCGCTGATGAACCCCTGTTGCTGCATTGCAGCGCTGAATCCCATGAAGTCTGTGGCAGGCTGTGATTGCACTGCCAGCAAAAAGCCGATTTCATGCCTTTTGCAAAGAACCCAAAACACACGTCAAGCTGCATGCCATCCATCCATGCTGAAACTACAACACATGCACGCATATATGTTTGGGCTACCATTGCCTTTGAATTTGGCGATTCAATTACTTAGCCTTTGTGGCAGCAGCTTTGACGCTCTTGAAATCTACGCACTCTTCTTGGAGGCCCTCTTGGCCCTTTTCACAGGTGGCTGGCTTCCCTCCGACTTCGATCTAGGTTTCGAAGTCTTAGCTGCAGGCTCACTTGGTGCAGGTGTGCCCTTGTCAGGCTTGTCGATCTTTGGCTTGGGAGAGGTCTTGAGCTTCGGCTTCAGGATCGTCCTAGGGCGCAAACAGAGTTGGGTTGTTGCAACAACAAGCAGGCAAGTTGTGGAGCTTCATTCATACAGGTCTAGGGCCCTAGCTTCTTGAGTTTCATCTCCTCACTCATCGCCCGAGAGCACCTTGAAGTTTTGAACGCAGGAAATGTTGCATGCGATGCTAGGGTACAAGAGTCCATGATAGAGAATCAGTTGAGGCACACTGAGTCCACCTTCTTGACAACATCCTTCAGCTGGTCTAGGCACTTCCTTGGCTTTGAACACTAGATAACATGGAAGACATGTAAGTCAAGATGGGACATGGGTGCAGTTACATATATGCAAGCTTGCGTCGGTGAAGCCTCTCCCGCAGAAGCATCCAGTTCTGACTTAATGTCAGCCAGTTCATCGTGCAATCCCATGATCTTGTTGATCAATGCCCCCACATTCTTGGAAGCCCTTAGGGACATGTTGGAGCAAGCACATGTAGCACGGTGCCACACCTAATTTCGAAACATGACTACATGCAGTTTGAAGGCTGTTGCGAATCAGTGGTCTTCATGGGCTCCAGTTTGTCCTGCACTTCCTGCATTCTGCCCTGCACCTTGAGGAGTTTCCCCATGACGTCCAGTGCGTTCTCCGCCGCCTGCATGGATGGAGGCCGGCCAAGAAGGAACCACATGAGAATATAATATTGAATTCATGCTTTGGCTGATGCACTTGAAAAGAAACTCATGCCTCAAGAACAATCTCTTTGCGCATTTCATCTTGTCGGGAAACACGGGCAGGGGCCACGCTTGACTCCTCAACATCCTCCTCATCGGTCTGAACCGGCGAATCCACAGCCATGCTGGCACCTGGCAGCCCAAGCGGGTCAGTGCTGGTGGCTGGCCCTCCAAAGGTCAGGGTGCTGTCGCCAACACCCTCTGCAAAAGAGGTCTCGTTGAAGGCCTCGCTCTCCTCCATCTCATAAGTGCCTGACACCTGCTCCTCCACCCAGTAGTATTTCGAAGAGGTCTGGTAGATGTCCCATGATGTCCCTCCTGCAAAGGGGCTCGCATGGAAACATTCGCAATGAATTGATAGGGAGGCCCACCTGATGAACTTACCCCGGCGACGAGGATCGCTGCAATACTTCACAACAGCTTTCACTCGATCCCTCGGCAGCACAAAAAGCAAATCACAAATCTGTTTGTCACACTTGTGCATGCTCATTCGTAAGGCGCCAATTGTGAACTTAGCTTCAGGCGCTGAGAAGCCTAGCGATGCCTTCATTTTCTCTTTTGAGTAGAAGCCGGCTTGGATGGTAGTTTTGCTTCTCCGGGATTTGGAGAGCTGGTGCTCCACCCGCTTCTTGAATGCATCCTCTCCCAATTGAGATGAAACATGAAACGACATTCCACAGTGAGACACTTGTGCATGCATGTCCTTGTCACCATTGCAGGCCAGAAGAGCGTCCACAAGCTGTTTACGGCCGGCGCCACAGTTCTGCCACACCTTTTGCACTTCAGAGCTCACCTCAAGCCTTCCCGACTTTTTGGGTTGGCACATTCTTCGCAAAACCTGCTCGGCGTTGGTCCGGGCTCGCTGGTCGTCGTCCATGGACACTTTCTCCTGTGAGCATGGCTGAAAAGCAAAGGAAACAATGGATGTGTGTTTGGCAAAGACTGGGTCCTTCTTAATTGTTGGCGGCTCAGTAGGCTGCAGGGAACAAGAGGCACCTTCAGGGTTCAAGGTGCAAAGAAATCCTGGTTGCGGGGTCAATCATCAGGGCTGGCCTCTTTGGGGCTGCAAATCAACTCAGTGGGAGCTGGTGTCTCCGGCGAATCAGGCTGGCGGTCCTACGTGCAGATTTCTTTGACAAGTCTGAGGACATCAAGTTGTCATGACATGCTCATGCATGTCTTGCATGCACACGCATCCACGTCAATCATGCATGACCCAAACTCCCGGTCCGGCCATGATTCTCGCGAGCTCGATTTCCCGGGGGCAGAGATGGGCGTCTTGTCCGCAGGAGCTTCTATGAAAACAACCTGTTGGCTGGCCGCAGGCGGGATTGAGCTTGCAACAGTGTGGGCAGGGCTTGCAATGGTTGATTTGCATGGTGGTGTCTCGGGCTCGTCTTCCAAGAGGGCTTGCTTCTTCATGTTCTCAAGCTTCTGCTTGGCAGCCTCATCATGTCTTTCAGAAACATATTATTGCTGTCGATCATTGAAGTTTCATGAGTGCATGGCAGCTAATCATATACCAAGCAACTTTGATGGATCCAAGGGGGTGACGTTCTTCTTTTGGGATTGCTCTCTCAAGAAGGATGCCCCACGAAGAAAGCTTTCACAAGACCAAGCCTTTGATTGCAATGCACGAGGAGGTTCCGACATTGTAAAAGCGCGCTTGCAAGGCTTGAAAAGCAAAAGCTCGCATGCATGCACAATCAACCTATCACGGTGCTCAAGTTTCATGCAACCCTTCATCTGGCACGCGTACAATGATGTACGAATATGCATGCTGCAGACCTTTTGTCCGGGCAGGTGCTCGTGCAGGATTTGGCAGGGACACTCAGCGTGCCGATTCGATCGGCATGGGTCGTTTAATCGGGCTTTTTCGCGGATCGTTACATGTTTTTTCAAGGGTTGGCCCCCGAAAGAAAAGTTGCATATTTTGGCCATATTTTTCATATTATATTTTATTGCACCTTTATCACCGTTTTTCGGCATTATACTCCGAATATTGTCACTGTGCATGCTTATTGGGAAATCCAATGAATCCCGAGAAATGACCCGCTGCCCCTACCACAACACTCGTTGCATGCACGCCTTTACCGCCGGGGGAAGGTTCAATGACTCTCCTCCCCAAAGGTACCGAATAACTTCACTCATCTTCGCATCCTCCCACAAGTCTCCAAAGTCGAAGTGCGCGAATACCAGTTCCGGGGAGAGGCGCTCAACCTCCGGTACCTGATCATGCAGGCTGTTTGTATGTGTTGCATGGTTTGGGAGCTCATTGCAATCTGCAAAAAAAGAGGGCACCACTCGAAGATGCTTCCGGCATTGCTCTTGTTGAAGTGCATTGAAGCTTTGCGCAAAGCGGTTGCCAAAACGTACCGGGTAGCGCCTGCACAGGATGTGCAATTTAGCAATTTGCCCAAAGTGTCAAAAGTGAATGCATGAGCGAGCATGTGCCACAAGGCTGAATAGAACACTGAGAATCAGACTGAGACCGCTTCAAATGTGCATTCCCAGTGAATCGCCGCTTTCCGGCTTTGTTCAAATATCGGGTCGTGAGGGCAAGGGCATGGTTGTTTTTGAAGCGTCTGGTGAGAGCCGGAGTGCGTAGATGGCGAACGCCCTTAGAATTACTCCACACTGTAGTTCTTTTCGGCGAGGGGGAGCCATAATACGCCATCCAGAAACTCTGTCGCCACACCTAAGTTGGCCCGGGAAACCACTTCGGGGGTAGCATGTGCAGCATATTGAAAATGCAATAGTGCAAGGGCTCGACCAAGGAACGGGGGTGATCCGAAGAAGTTCACGAAACCTTGATTGACGCCACCAAAGCGAAGTGGATGGCTGCTCAACCACCCATGTTCCATTCTTCGCCATGATGAAGATGATGGCCAAAATTGTCCTGGGGAATGGCATGAGTGTCACCGTGATGCATGCATCAGAACCCTTAAAGGAATCAAACATGACCATGCAGGGCTCCTTGCAGTGAGAAGGTTCCCATCAGCAACAGCAGCACACGATTCGTCTCCAAGAGGCATGAAGAAACTTCTGTGGGTGCTCCCCCTTGAAACCACCACCCACGATGAACAAACAAGGCCAAAGCTCGCGACGAGGTTGCACTTCGCCTCCAGAATTGTTTTCAGCAGCAACCTGAGAATGAGCGAACGAAGCTGGCCCTGTGTACACGCCACGCATGTGTCATGGTGTTGGTTTCCAATGCAACAAAAGGGCGCCATTCCACTTGCTTCCCGAAGATCAAGTGGGTTGTGCATGGGTGGCAATCTCATTCTCATGCTTTGGCGCCGCTCTGCCCACAAATTGATGTCCATCGCACAGGTCCTCAGGCCTGCCGCCCTGCAGCAGGAGCTCAGGACCGACGCTCCAGCATACACTTCAATCATATCATACGCCTGGTCACGATGCAACATGCTGGGTACAGAAATTGCAATGTTCAGTAAATGTTACAGCTTTTGATGCATGCAT